TATTATTTATTTTATTTATTTATTTATTTATTTATTATTTTAGTTTATACTTTATTGTCTTATTTTTAATGAATTTGATCGAATTTTTTATCATGAGTAATATTCGCGAAACTAAATATAAAAATTGATATACAAAAATTTCGGTCGAGATTTATTTATTATAAGCAATTTAAATTTATATTACATAAAATTTGAAAATTGAAACGATGTAGATTAATCATTAGTATTTCAGTTCTTGTTTTCAATAAAAAGTATTATTAATCATTATTAATCATAATAAATATGTTCTTAGATACCATTATATCATATTATTTTAAACTTCAGAAACTTATTTCACGATGTACTATTGCATTGAACTAGTATTAACGTAACTGATGTCATATATAAGTCAAAAATATCTAAAATATTTTAATAATATAATAATAAGTAAATCGATGGAAAAGTAAAAAAATTAAATCAATTTTTGTGCTTATCTTAGCTTCTAGAATTGATTGTTTAAACATATCTCACGAATATATTAATATTGTTCCAAAAATGAAATATAAATGATAGTATTCTATGATTTCTTAAAAACATCTCTTTTTAGAAATTTTCTTAATTATGAAATTCTTTATGCAAGATGTCTTCTGAAAACTTTTCTTTTTTTAATGTTAAAGATTTAACAAATGATCCAGTATAAAAAATATAAAAATATAAAAATATAAAAATATAAAAATTTTATTTACAATTCTGTATACTTATTAGCAACTTTATTTTGTTACAAATTATTATTATTCAATACATTAAAAGTAAAACAATGATTACTATAATAATATAATAATATTATAATAATATTTTTATAAGAATATGTTTTTCTTTTTTGAGATTCCAGGATCTCAAAAAATAGATCCTGGAATAGATAGTTCTTTTTGTCGATATCTCTTTAAATATCTAATTTTCTTTCTGAACGTTTTTCCTAAGCTAACAGTATAATAATATAATTGTCATTTCTTCAATATTATCTTTAAATTTTTTCTTTTTAAATTTAAAAATAGATATATATTATTATTATTATTATTATTATTATTATTATTTTATATATATATATTTATATTCAAATAATAATAATAATAAATAATAAACAATTATTAATAGAGGCCAGAAAATTCGTTTTTGAAAAAATGAAATTGAATTTTTAAACCTAATATTCAATTATCTTTCATAAAATTCTTTTAGAAATTTTGAAGAAAATATTTAATATTTTAAATATTCTTTGTATATTATTCTTAATAAAGATAAACATTTTTAATTTATTTAATAATTATATACGAATGTCCACTGATTTTATTATTCCTATAATGGCATGATAAAATAAA